TTCATCATTGTTCTTTTGAGTTCCATGTCCTGCATTGTCTCTAGGGGATTCTCATTGTGCTCCTCTAGAGGTTTACTGGTATTTGGTGAGGATATGTTATTTTGGTTTTTCATGTTATTATTTTTTCTCTATGATTTTGACGTGGATTTCTTTGTAGTTCTGGTTCTTGTGTGAGACTCAAGCCTTCAAGTTTAGGTCTGCAACTTTTTGTAAACTTTATGTGTCTTTGTGGCTTACTTTTTGGGCATGAAAAGCTGGTTCCTCTAAGCTTCCGGTTCTCTCTTTTGATTTTATACTGGAGTGGCCAGATTGCTTTTCTTTTCAGGAGTTCCCACAGAGGCCCAAGTCAGATGAGGATCAGATGCTCTCAGGCTTTCTCCTAAGGTCTAGATCCCTCCAGGAAAGATTTTGGCCTCAGGAATTTGGGGGTTGGACTGTGCTGGGAGCTGGGCCCAGGAAAGATGCTGGTCTAGGGCCGTGCCACCCAGAGATGCAAAGGAAGATGGGGGCGGGAAGCGGCTCCAAGGACTCCTGGGGACTGCACTGAGGAGCTGGGTTGGTCCCGGAGAGAGGCCTGGGGGTGGGTGAGAGGCCTGTGGGTCTTGCAGGCCCAGGGAAGCAGAGGGAGGTGAGGGCAGGGCCTGGCCCAGAAGCAGTACTCCCTGGAGAGAGGCCTGCGGGTTGGAAAGAGGCCTGTGGGTTGGAAAGAGGCCTGTGGGTTGGAAAGAGGCCTGTGGGTCCTGTAGGCCCGGGGAAGCAGAGGGAGTTCTAAATGCTTAATTTCTATAGAGAACAATTCCTAGGGTCAGTCATTGTCTTCACATCTCTGCTGGTGTTTTTTTTTTCTAAAAGTCTGTTTTCCTGGAAGGCAGTAATATATCTTTGTTACTGACTGGTTTTCTGTTCAGAGGTTAAAACAATGTTTATCCAAGGGTGAAACTTTCAATCTCAAGAGAGACAGGAGAAGATGCAGATGCAAAAGGAGTCAGGAATGAAGTATTCTCATGGTTCCTCTGACTGTCTTCTCCTTCATCTCACTTTCTGAATCGCTATGAAGAGAATTTCCAATAAAGCAAAACACACTGAAGCAGGAAGGCTAGCCTTCTAGACTTTTTGATAAACTTGAAGTTGATTGTCAAATAGGGCTTTCATTTTTCCTCTCTCAAATCTTTTCTCAAGAAAAGGGAATCAAGTTACCAGCCTTTGTTTTGAGCTTAAGCTTGGATTTTTGTTTGTTTGTTTCAAAGAGTTACAAATATTCAACTCATCAGTCTATCAGGAAATGATGGAGGCAGGCATCTGTCTACACACAGACACATCGAGATCTGCAAAACTGCTGATTTAAGCTAAGCAAGTTAAAAATCATTTGTCCTTATTTTCCCAAGCAAGCTGTATGTGTTGAATGTGCTTGGAAAGGTTGGAATGTGTTTAGCCAACATAGACACACTTCAAAGGAAAGTGTGTGTGTGTGTGTGTGTGTGTGTGTGTGTGTGATATGAATTTTATCCTTCTCTAATTATCTGTCTTTGAGAAGCTCAGTTTCAGGGTCTGGAGAGATGGCTCAGTGGTTAAGAGCCCTGGCTGCTCTTGCAGAAGACCTGGATTCAATTTCCAGCACCCACATGGTGGCTAACAACTATTCAGTTACAGGGGATTTGATGCCTTCCTCTGACCTCCACTGGCATTGCATGCATATGGTACACTTACATACAAGCAGGCAAAAACACTCACACACATAAAATAAATAAATATATATAGCATGGTGGCGCACACCTTTAATCTCAGCACTTGAGAGGCAGAGGCAGGCGCTCCCTGTAGCCCCAGCTGTCCTGGAACTCACTGTGTAGACCAGGCTGGCCTTGAACTCACAGAGATCTGCCTGCCTCTGCCTCCCAAGTGCTGGGATTAAAGGCATGCGCCACCACGCCTGGCTAAAAATAATAAATAGTTTTAAAGAAGCTCAGCTTCAAATATTAAGCCTATTCAAATGTCTTTAATGATGAAATTTCCCTAGAGTTAATAAAATAACAGCAAAGGCTTTTAAATGCAATACGTCTCTGGGTTTCTGAAACACGAGAGGGCAGTATTCTTGGTCTCCTGAATGATTGAGTTCCTGAACGCAGTACCATCTTTGACATGGACAACTTGAGTAATTGGATTCCCAGTTTCTTTACCTGTAGGACTTAAACCAAGCAAGACCTCAAGGATTTATGTTTTATACCTGTTTCCTCTCTGGGAGATCTTAACTGTTAAGTAACACGATATGAATTCCCTATTTTAGACTATTAACATTTCCACAATATACTTTAGAGACAAGGATGTGGCTCTGCATATTTAAATGTGTTTGTAAATGACTACAATAGAATCTTTTGGAGCTTCTGTTGTAGAATCAGCCAGGCTATTTGCCAGCCGAAGAAAATACAGTTATACTTCTACAGGTTATAGAAGAATGAGTCTGAGCCTCTTCCCTGACCCATGCTTTCCTCCCCTCATCCCTGCCCCGGCCCAACACCTAGAATCAGACATGGCATCCAAATTCAACTGAGGTGGTGTTAATCTCATGACATGTGCTGTTCCCTTGAATCCTAGATTGTTTTGTGGATATTGTGATTGGATTTGACATCTCAAGTCAGCAGAAAGGGCAGAGCTTGCAGGAAGGTCAGCCTTGGATGAACACCTACCTTCAGGCCATCTTGCGTGCCATCAGCTCCCTCAATGGGGTAAGCTGTGAGGTGGGCACAGAGACTAAAGTGAGTATGGCCTTTCAAGTGACAAATGCTATGGAAAAGCATTCTTCCAAGTTTGAGATCTACAGTGAAAACATACTGAACAGCCTGCATGGTGTGATGGTTAACGGCCCATCACTTCTCAATGCAAACCTGTTGAGTTCCCTGTGGGATACATTTCAGAATAAATCAGCTGCTCGAGGGAAGGTAACCTGGTTTTATTTTGTTTGTTGGTCTGTAGCTTTCAGTGGAATTCTTTAAATTAATTTCTTTTTTTTTTGAAAATTTCCCTAGGTGGTCCTTTTATTTTCAGATGGATTGGATGATGATATTGAAAAACTTGAACAAAAATCTGATGAACTCAGAAAAGAAGGTACTGAATATAGGGGAGGAGTGGGAAGGAGGGTAATTGTTGATTGGTTGATTAATTGATTTACGTATTTATTTAAGACAGGGTCTAACTCTGTAGCCCAGGCTAGCCTGGAACTCGTTATAGAACACAGGCTGGCCTCAAACTTACCACAACTCTCTTTCCTCAGCCTCCTGAGTGTTGATTTTATAGGCATGAGCCACTGTGTCTGACTGCTTATTAACTTTGTAATATCCTAACTTAATTCTGGCTCTTTCGTTTCCTGGTGCTCAAATGACCCTAAATTTGACTGTCTTTTTCCCCTGTATGGATCCGGTAGAGAAAATGTATTCTTGGAACATTTTGACATCAGCATTTCCTTCATGTTTTATGTATATAAACAGCACTGATTACAGAGTGCTGTCCTCCTTATAGCATTGTGTTTGTTCTCCCGAACCTTTCCTGGAGAACATTCCTGTCTCTCTTGCCCGACCTTATCTAATATTGCTGCTTCTGTAGTGGAGAAGAGAACAGGATGATCTTCCTTGACTGAGGAATGCAAGTGTTGGATCACTTTCCTCTAGCACTGGACCTTTCCAGACTGCAAGCATTGCTGGACAAGTTTCCTCATGTTTGGGGCTTTTGTAATTGTTTCCTTCCTTCAGACCACAGATGGGCCAACCATGGTGTTCATGAGGCTTCAAAGCTCTGCAGCCAGGCTTTTGGCTTTTAGAACCGATGGCCATTCTGACTTATTGTCAGTTCTTATTAAAATGTAGGTCAGTGGGGACAAAGCGCATCCGTGTGTTCTGGCTTGACTAGGAACACAGCTCTCCTGTAAGTGGGTGCTGTTGCCCTCTCACCCAGGTCCCCTTTACTGGAAGGATCACCCACCTGCCAACTGTTGATCACTCACAGCCCATGCAGTCTCTGAAGACTTGCCCTCAGCCACTCAGAGGCCTGTCATCTTGAAGGTTACTCCTCACATCACCCCTGGGCAATGGACAGAGTACAAAGAGTTAGACCTTGGTCTCAAGTGATAATGAGGTTGTGGTATGATTTATAGTCCAGAATTCTCTAAGACTATGCCAAAGCTAGACTCCAGCTAAAACACTGTCTTGCTAGGGTCCTTTCCCTGCCCTGTCCTTCTCCTCTATCCCTCTCTTCTGAGGACTTGTCAACAAATTCTGTGTGTGTCCAAACCCTTATCTCAGGCTCTGTTTCCAGGGAACCTGACCTAGTACATGGCTCTCTCAGGTTAGCTATGTAGGTTGGCCAGACTCTGTCTTTCTGCTTAGTTCTCTCCTCAACCTCAAACAGAATATGAAGTTCTTATAGTAAAGAGTTTTATTTTACCCTTTATTTACTAAAGCTGTCTTCTCTTTATTCTATCACATCTTGGCCTTTGTTCATGAAATATAAGTAGAGATTTTAATTAAGATTAAGAACAAGACCTGAGAGCCTGTGGACAGTGGACAGTGTTGTTGTCATTGTGGTTTTACTTCTTTCAGTCTTCCTTTTGTGGGGAAAAGATATACCTCTTGTGGACAGTGTTAAAGTATCTTCAAGGAATACTTTGGAATATTCAGAATTCTGAGACTAATCTCTTTCAACCCCCAGAGAAAGCATAGTAAATGAGTATCTACCTCAGAAGTTAGATTTTTAAAAAGCATATCCTCAGAAATTCAGAATCTTGGAAGAAGGGACCAAGGAATGATGGCCACAGTGTTCTCTAAAAAGCGTTTCCTGGCTCTCAATATGGACAAGAACTACCTATGTACTGGCTTCCCATATTTAAGAATATATGGCTTCCATATAATTTATGATTGATTGAACAGATTGATGATCTATTGCCCCCAAAAGCTGCTTTACATCAAGGCCCCATCCCTTCACATATAAGCTAGGCAATCTCCATATAACAGGAAGAGACAAGGAGAAAAGGATTATGGTCAGTGGGCGTGTCGTTCTAACATGCTTGTAGAGTGATGTTTAAATTTGTTAGTTATAATTTTTTAATGTAATCTATAACTAAACTGATGGGTTTAAAATATTTTATTAATTATTTTTATTTTAGGTATATGAGTGTATTGCCTGCATGTACGTAAATGTGCCCGTGTTGTGCAATGCCCACAAAGGTCGGAAGAGGGCATTGAACCCCTGGAACTGGAGTTACAGATGGTTATTAGCTGCCATGTGGGTGCTAGGAACTGAACCCAGGTGCTCTGCAAGTGCACCTAGTTCTCTTAACTCTTGATCCACCTCTTGAGCCCCAATTCTAATTTTTGAGACAGGGTCTCACTATGTAGCCCTGGGTGGCCTGGAACTTGCTATGTAGACCAGGCTGGCCTCAAACTCACAGAGATCCATCTGCCTCTGCCTCCTGAGTACAGAGGTCAAAGGTGTGTACCACCATGCCAGACATGTTTTTATAGTTTTTAAAAGTCTAATATTTTAGAGTCTCTGCTGTGATTCTTTTTTCTCACAGCTGTTGAACTGCTTTCTTCCTTAATCCATTTTTAGCAACTGAAGACGTTGTATTGAAGATGTGTGACTCATTTTATTGGATAAGTCTGAAGGGAGCAGGATAGGAGTCCTCCTATTCTCAGAAAGGCAGCCATAAATAATAGTTATATGCATATTTCCTACAAGTCAATATCCATGGATCTTGTAACTCTTAAATTTTTACATTTCCTGAAGCTTATAAGAAAAAACAGATGTGAAATTTTTTTCCCCTAAGTAGATCCATAAGCATGCCTACCTTCTCTTGAACACTAATTTTGGGACTGGAGAGATGGCTCAGTGGTTAAAAGCACTGGGTGCTCTTGCAGGGGACCTGGGTTCAGTTCCCAGCACCCACAAAATGACTAACAACTGTCTGTAACTCCAGTTCTAGGACTTCTGGCCTTTACTGGCATTGCATGCACATGGTGCACTTACATACATGCAAGCAAAACACTTATACACATAAAGAAAACTAATAATCCCACTATTCTCCAATTCAGCTACACAGCTTTGATAACCCAGCCTACTCTACAAACTTTTCTCCCCCCTCATTCTTACTCCACAAGAGTAACCACCTATCTTATTTTGTCTGAGACAGGCCAAAAACTTACGACACTAAAATCAAAAAAGTCCAAGGCAAACCAGACCAAGCTGGTCCCCTGTTCTTTAATCATTCTTTCTTTGTTCCATTTCTGCTTACCACCCTATCTGCCTCTTCTCAGATCTGAGCCATGCCAACATACCCCTGAAGTCTTATTCCCTCATGCCCCTATTCATTCAAAACATACCATATTAAGATGATATCTTTTCATTTTTAATTGAATTTTTGTGATTCCCTTGCAATATAATTTGATGGTATTTAGATCCCCTCCCCTATCTGCATGTCCCCTTACTGCTCCCACTCAATTTAATGTACTATAGTAATTTAATTTGTGTCCCCAAATGTCCTTCACTGTGGGTCCATCCACTGGAGGCTGGTTAATTTACTGAGTCCCATGCTTGAAACAGATTTTTCTCTCCCCCTCCCAGAAACCTTCAGTTGCCAAAAGTTCCTTAGGTAGGACTGGGGTTTCTTTCCTACTTCCCTACATCTCTGCTGAGATTTTGTCTGACATGAACTTGCATAGGACTTGTGCATGGTGTCACCATTACTGTGAGTTCATATGAGTAACTGACCAGCTGTCCAGAAAACTGTTTCCTTGTGGTCATCTACCACCTCTGGCTCTTAGAATCTTTCCTTCTCCTCTTCCACAATGATCTTTGAGCCTTGGGATGTAGACGTTTGAAATAGGTGTCCTATTCAGGGATAAGATCTCTGTGGCCTCTTGTCCTCTGCACATTGGCCAGTTGTGAGCTTCCCTGCTAATCACCATCTGCTGCATAAGAAGACTTCTTATGGTGAGAATTGAGAGATGTATTAATCTATGGGTATTACAGTAAGTCATTAGTCAGTTTAATACTATAACTATTTAGAAGTAAACTAGCATTGGGCTTTCTCTTTGTCCTTGTGACCTGGCTAGCTTCAGGTTCCTAGGCCTGAATATCAATGTCAGATATGGGCTCCACCCTGAAGCAGACCTTAAATTCAATTAGGAAGTGGTTGGTTACTCCTGTAGTATTCATGCCATTGTTGCATTGGTGGGTGTATCTTGTCAGTCGTTGTAGTTCACAGAATTCTCAGCTGGGTAAGGTTTATGTTTTTACCTTTTGGTAGCTTACATAGCACCTTCCAGAACTATGAAAGCTAGCCAGTAGAAATGAGACAGTAGAGATGAGCCTCTGAAGTCAGCAGCAGCTTGATTTCTCCTTGTTTGTTCTATAGCTCATGTATGTACTGTCTTTAGCAATAGGGTCTTACCATCAAGTTCTGGTGGGTAACCAAGAGCAGGGGCAATAGCCAGTAATATTTGAGAATCTGTGGAACTCATGGTCAACAACTTCAAGAGAGGGAGTCCATTCCTAGCATTTTTGTTAGTTTATGGTGTTTAGTAGGGGCAATGTCCCCATGTTACAAGTAACTCCTTTAAATCTCTTTTTATAATGTATATGTATATACTTTAAGAAGCCTCTATAGTGGTCGGTTTCTATATGTTTTTTTCTAAAGGTATTTAGTGTTAGCTTCCCCTCCTCATACTCCCTTCTCCGCCTACCCTCCCAATCCCCACTCCATTCAACCCTTTCTACTCTATTATTCCCCTTTCCCTCTTTATATCACTGCATTCTACCTCCCCTCCCAGAGCTCCCAAGCCTTCCATGATCAGTTATTAGTTTCCTGATGTCTCTGGATTTTCAAATTGAAACCTGCATATCTAGGATTCAAAGCTAGTATCTTGACTCAGTGAAGTCCTTAAACATTTCCTTATCTACTCAGGTATATTGGTTCCCAAGTCCCATCCAAATAGTTCTATGCACAACCATAGTAGAAGGAAAAAATTCAGAATTAACCTTTATTCTGTGATTTTTGCCCTTAGTACATTTTTTGTTAAATGTACTTGAGTGTAAAGCTTTGGAATTTGGCTATCTGGTCAAAAAGCCTAAACAGTCCAAGAAGTCAAGAACTAAATTTCTCTAAACCTCAGTTTTCTTGTCTGTAAAATATGAGTATAATCATATGTGAGTGCCTATATGTACCAATAAGATAACACATATACATGATCTAACCATCATCCAGGCACATAGGAACTATTAGAGAATGCCAACACAGTTGTTGCTGTGCTACCTGTGTCAGAATGATTGCCAGGTTTCCTTAATATTCTTACTGTGCAAAATAAGTTATTGCACCCCTATCATAGGCCCTAAAAGTGGTTTTTGAAGCATTCTTTTTAAATATTTTATTATTTTTATTTGTTTATTTATTTTATATATGTTTTTTTATTTTTTAGAAGAAGCATTTCATTGCAGCTTTAACATATTCAATAACAATTTCCAGAGCAAAGATACATCTCTTTCAAAATTGGCTGTAAATTTTTAGGTTCACTGTTGAATTAATACAGTTATACAATATTGAACTCAGTATAAACCCTGTAAGACATTACCCTAAAATTGCAAGGCCTGTGTGCTGCCTCCCTCAGTGAGTATTTGTCATCTGTTTCTTTTTACAGACTTAGCCAGAATATCAGTTCCTTATAAGGTCATTGAAAGCACCTGTTTCTATTTTGTTTTGTTTGGCTTTTTGCAGTGCTGAGGTCGAACATGGGGTCTCACACATGCTAGGGAACTGTTCTACCTGGGGGTTTTGTTAAAATACAGATTTTAACAGAATTGGATATCTGAATCAGTAGATATAGGCTATGGCCTGAATTCCTTTCTTTCTTTTTTAAAAATCCATCATTTTCTCATGCAATTCTGTATTTTATTGAAGGATACTAGACAGTGTGGGTACATATCCCTGGAGATTCTGTATTTCTGAGATGTTCCTGGGTTATTCTGACCTGTGGCTTCAAGAATCCCCTATAAGGGTTGAAAATGTTGACCATTTACTTTCTTGGTATGTGACTTCCTCTACTTTAGCAAGCTGTGTGGCCCTTTGGTCAACTCTCTGTCTCACTTCAAATAATCAACATATGAAGTTCTGTTACAAGCCTCCACCTCATCTCCAACTTAACTCATTTATTCTAGTCCTGTTGGGGGAATAGACATTAGAATACAGCTGTTTGTTGAGGATAGCAATTTAAATATGCAGAAGGATTTAAGAGAACCAGTCCACTTCACCTGGAGAATGTGTTGAACAGGTCTGAATGCCCTCATAACCATTGCCCTGGATGGAGCTGCTGATTCCAACAACCTGGCAGATCTTCTCTACATTGAATTTGGGAAAGGATTTGAGTACAGAACACAGTTCACAATTGGTACGAGGGACCTTGGGAGTCAGCTATCAAAACAACTGGTAAGTTATTCAGAGAAAGCTGCTGTACTGTGGAGCTCTATCTTTAGCTCGTGGCTGCATAGTTTAAACATTCAGTTATCTTGTATATAGGTTTAATGTTGATGAGTATGAATGTGAGTTAATTCTGATCTTTTGAGTGAAGATGGGCCTTTATGAATTAGTGAATGTTCTAACATTTGAAAATACAGAGACATCAGGAATGTCTCTGTACATGAAAGTAATATTAGAGAGTAGAGGTAAGTCAAAGCATAATTAAGTGATATATTTGGAATAAAAGAAGAGGCAGTGGGAGGAGGAGGAAAGAAGAAAAAACAGAACAAATATTTAAATGCTGCCCAAATCACAGCCCACAAATGTTAAGTGGCCAGAAGAACCTGAGTCTCACACGTACCTCGTCTGTTCCTCCACCAGCTGATCCTCGTGTCCTTGCAGCGCTGAGCATCACAGCTCACCACGCAGCATAACTCTAGTGTTCAGGATGTATTTTGCCCGTAGCACAGGATGTAAATGACAGCCAGTTGCATGTGGGGTTGATGTGGAAGAGCAGCCTGCTTGGGCCCTGGAGGAAGAGCGGGAGCCTCGCTGATGGGCATCATGAGTGAGATGTCTGCACACCTGAGATTCTTGCTGTGTGAGCTGTTTTCACAATCTCACACTGTGCTAAGCTGCATCCTCATCATATACTTTCAGAAACATACAAGGAATCAAACTCAGGTGGCTAATACTACCAAGTTTAACATGGTGCCTTTTACTTTAGTGAGTGGCTAATGATTTGCAATTTGTAATTTGCGACATCTTTAATCAGTATACCAGAATACTTTCCAGGGTGTTTTCTACCTATAGAATTTGTATATAGACAGATGTTTGAAAACAACCTATTCAGTGAAAGTACTGAAAGAATAGGGAAGTTTCGTTGAAATTATTTATTCTATTTATTTATTTATTTATTTATTTATTTATTTATTTATTTGTATCATTTATCATTGGTGTGTATGATAGGAGGGGCAGGGCATATGTGTGGAGGTCAAAGAACGACTTTGTGGAGTCAGGTCTCTCCTGTAAACTGCATGTGGGTTCTGGGTATTGAACTCATGTCGTCAGGCTTGCCCAGCAAGCACTTTACCTGCCAAGCCATCTCATCAGCCCCTATGTTTATTTTTTAAAATGCATGTTTTCCTGTCTAGTAGTCTTTGAAAAGTGTATTGGTAATTCGTAGAGGGGAAAGGTTATTCTTCAAAACAACCTTGCCAGATTTTAGATACCATATACGTGAAACATTGTGTAAGACAAAATTTTTGAAATAGACCAATTTAATTTTAATAGTAATAGAGTTGATATTGTAAAATTTGGTGACCCAAAGAAAATCTTATTACTTAATATGAAATCATAGAATTCATTTGGGGATGTTTGGTTTTACACATTTCAAATTTGATTGCTTTTCCTGAACTTTTGTTTCATTTTTGAGACAAGAGTTCAGAGTCTCACTAAGTACCCCAGGCTAGCCTGAATTTCACTATGTATGCCCCTTTTGTCTCAATCTGTGGCAGTCCTACCTACCTCTGCCTCTAAGGTGCTAGGATTTGGGGTATTAGCCACTATGCCTGGCTTTTTTCTGAAAATTTCAGGAAAAAGAAAGAAGAATTTTATAATGTCAGAAAAAGAATATTATATAATGGAAACAATCAGAGGGAAATGGCTAAGTGGTTAAAGCAAAAATATTCTTAGGTTTTGTTACACTAGAAACTTATCAACAGACTTGCAATACAAATACTGATTCTACTCCATGGATGTGAAATAGAACACTTACTGCAAACTGAATTTTCCTAAAAATAAATCTGGTGGGTAAATTGTAAAAAATGCAGCATGTCAGGAAATGATTTCAGTACATGGTGAAATCCATTCACATTTAAAAAAATGTACTATGATTTTGTTTTGGCCAGCCTATGAAGAGAATATTCTCCCATGCACACACCTCTGTAACAAATGCTTCCAAAACCTTGACAGGTGGCTGACAGTTTTGAAATCCCATCAGAAGTATTCTGGAAGTGTTTCCACACAATCCCTCTGGTTGTTTCCTATTATAAAATATTTCTTTTCTGACATTATAAGATTCCAAGTGGTTAGAGTGGGCACTGTCTGAATCCACTAACAAACTGAGATTTCACCAAACGGGGAAAGGAGAAACAGCATGCATTCATTTTATTGAACAAAACATGTAGGGCAAAATATACAGGCGTGTCAACAACTCCATGGTCAATGCTGGGTGAGGGGAGGTGTTTCCAACAGGCAATGCCACTAATAATTTAGTGTGCTGAACCCATGCCATTTCCAGATTCAAACACTCCAGAGTCGATGGAAAGTTCTTCTAGAGTGGGGATTGCAGGATGTAAAGGAAAGACGACCAGGACGATCTCGGGCATTGGCTATAGGGTACAGCCACATTAATGTGATTAGGCTTCTGCCACTGTGGTAGAAACGCGGGTTCCACGGGAGGGCATGTGTGCACGATTTGGGACACAGTACCATCGAATGTAACGTATTTGTCACACCCCTCCAAGATCAACGTGGCCGAACGGACATGCTGCTGTTTGTTCTGCAAGTGCTTCGGAGGAGACGGTGCCGTGGGGGATTCAGGCTCGCCAGGGAAGAAGGTGACTGATTCAGACCTGTGTTCCCTTTGCTTGAACTGCAGTATGCCTCTCGGATATGAGTTTGGATAGAAAGGGAGACTTTAGCTTCTAGCACGAGCCTCCGGAGGCAGCTAAGCAGGAGACACAGTTGCCAGGATCCTTGATGACCCAGTGTTCAAGCAGTGATGACAAAGCAGAAAATTGAGAGACCCTTGTGCTGAGTGGTGGACGCTTCTGAGATACCAGTATCTCATTTCAGTTCCCACTTTTAATCACAGCAGCATCATTAGACTCAGGTCAATATTTTGTACAGTCTGCTGAAAACCAAGCTGGATTGGGTCACTGTATCATAACAAAGGGTATTCCAATGCTGATGTTTCACCGACAAAAGCCAGCCAAATTGTTTGTTTGTTTGTTTGTTTGATGTGTATGAGTGTTTTGCCTGCATACAAGAAAGTGTACCACATGCATGCAATGCTCATGACAGCCAGGAAAGAGTATTGGACTCCCTGGAACTGAGATATGGATGATTGTTAGCCACCTTGTGGGTGCTGGGAACTAAACCTGGGTCTTCTTCAAGAGCAGCCAGTGCTCTTTACTGCTGAGCCATCGCTCCAGCCCCTAAATAAGTTTTTTTTTTTTAAAGCAACTAACAACCTTAATTCATATATTTCCTAGCCAGAGAAAGCTTCTATCTCCTTAAATAAAAATATTATTTCAGAGACTAGCAAATGTTCAGATATGTTCAGATACACTATGGGATGTATTTAATAATGATTTTTCAATACTGCTGGTTTATGTATGTTGGGTATAACTCCCACATCACCAGAGCTGTGTCTCTGACGAAGCCTCAGATTAATTGCTTCCTGAATGCTTTGACTTCATGGAAAGAGAATGGTAGGATTAAAAGCAAAGCCAAAGACCAGGGCCCAGAAAGAATAGAAAGAAATGTGTGTGGCCTGTTTTTCTATGTGCAGCATAAATTCTAAAAAAACAGAAAAGGAGAACAGTTATTTTAATGAAAAGAGGAAGATAATTCTAGGGATTTTTTAGGGGCAAATATAGTTGTGGTTGCTTGAATATTTGTCTAGAGAGGAATTTCAGCACTGTATGTAATTCTGGAAAAAGAGAGAGAGAAAGAGAGAGAATTATGGCACACATACACATGTGTGCACATGCATGCATGTGTGCACAAACACGTACTTGGGCACACACATACACAACCACACCCATACACACATAAATACATACATACATACATACATACATACATACATACATATATACATATATACATACTCATGCACATGCCTACACATCCTTGAACTATCTGGGTACCTGTTTGAAAATTCCCTTTATATTTGCATAAATGCCCCTAGTTTGGGGTAGAAGGACTGGGGCTTTTTCAAATTCTTTCTATGGCAGATGAAGTCAGTCAGCAAAGGGAGGGTGGGGGATTTGCTAGGGTATCTCCTTTCCCAGTCCATAGTGCTCACGTTTTCTCTCTTTTCTTTTTATCCAGGGAACCTCTGGTTCTAAAGGCAGTGAAGGCTACCTGGGAGAGGAGGGCACTGCTGTAAGTCAAGATTTCTCAACTCCGCTTATTGATCAGACATAGGAAGTCCTTCCTTCCATGCATCTACCTGTGCACTCATCTAACAATGCATTTAAACACTCATCATTCACTGCATTTTTATCAAAGACTTCAGTGCGCATATTCATTTAACATATATCTAGTATCTTAGATACTCACAATGCAAGCCCTGAAAATGAGAAAAATACACCAAAGGAAAAAATATAGCACACTAATGGGAAGGTGAATGACCTGTGCTAGGGGCACAGGGATGTGGCAGGGTGATGTCAGAACAGGAAGCTAAAGGCTCAAGACAGCCGACTCAGGACTGAGAGCTGGGCTGGGAGGAAAAGGGAGGAAAGGGGGTAATCCCTGGGCCAACACTTGAGGTGGGACAAAGGGTTTCTCTGGGCAACACTGGTGGGAAATGACATTCTGCTGCCGAGGGGGTTGTGTGTTCGAGGACAACAGCTGAGTTAAAGGATTGTGAGTTTGCAGAATGGCGTATGGTCAACGTGGCTGGAACCAAGGACACTGCAGAAGGTGGTATGGCTTGGGGAGTCTTGAGTATCCCAGGAAGACAGACTGGCTTGTGTCTAGTTGATGGACAGTCACTGTGTGATGTTAAGCACAGGAATGGAAATGATAGCTATGATCAGAAAGCATATCTAGCTAGAATCATGGGTGATCAGGCCGAGGTCACAGGTAAAAGTCTTACGGTCATAGGTACAAGGCAAACCTTGGCTTGGGGCAGTATGAGCACATGTTAAGGAAGTTAAAGACACAACATGGTGACCACTTGGGAGAAGAGAGGCCTCACACAGGCAATATGCAGGGGAGAGCTGGAAGCTAAGGGCTGTCATCAGAGCAGGGCTGAGTTACTGCCATTCTTTATTATTTTTAATTTTTTGTATGAACTTGAGTTCTTGAATATAAATCATGAATAGCCAGATGTTTTTGTCAAAAAAAAAATCCAAAAAACTTGCCAAGTATCCAAGTCAGATCCCAGATAACAATAGCAAAACCTTATCTGGATATGTGCTCTTTGTCAGGGAGAAAGAGGAGCCCCTGGACCAGTGGGAGAGCAAGGCACTAAGGGGTGCTATGGTGCCAAAGGGCCCAAGGTGAGTACTGCATAAGATGCTGTGACATCTCTTCAGCCTGTCATTCCATTTCCTGTACTCACCGCTGCTCTCCTTTCTGTTTTCAGGGGGCCAGAGGACTCAGTGGAGAAGAGGTGTGGCACGGGCTCATGTATTTTATATGCCGTTGGGTTATCCAGACATAATTTTACTTTTGAAACCATTGGTGGCCAGTAGATGATCAACTAAGTTCACTGTTGGTTGGCCTTCCTGTTTTCAAACCAGCCATTTCATTTAGTTGACCTCTGCCTTTTATTTCAAGCTGTATTTATTATTTGTTGACAGTTTCTATTAAGGAAAGTAATCTTTGAAATTACCCAGGCATAGTCTAACAGCGCTAAACACAAAATCTTTAAGGGTGTTTTTATTTGGTGTCTGACAGATGTGCACTGTATTCTGATCCCATCTGTCTTTGCAGGGAGAAGTTGGGGAAAGTGGAATCGATGGATTAAATGGAGAACAGGTGCTGCCTTTCCTTTTGCCCTCAGACACCCTTCTGGGCTGTTTCCAATTCCGAAAATAGGAATTTGAGTTTTTCCTTCTCTGTTTTTAGGGTGACAGTGGTCTTCCTGGAAGAAAAGGAGAAAAGGGTGATGAAGGATCCCAGGTAGGAATTCAAGACAGGGAAAATGTAAAACTACTCTTGAAATGAAAGGTATAACATAAAGCAGAATAGCTGCCCTAGAGGTGGCCCTTAGCTATGTGGTAGGAATTCATGAAACCCCACCCCATACTACAGTGAACACTGGTCATGCATCTCATGGATTCTCTCAAGCTCAGCACAGCAGTCTGTGGCTCACATCGGTAGGGTGGATGAGGCTTTATCACACTGGCCATGACCTTTCTGTGGAGGACAAGAGGAAACACTCATGGCCTGTCAGTGGCATCTTGAGGCCAGGACTTGGGTCTCTTACATGTCTATCTGTTTCTCTTGACTCGCATCAAGTCATTTAGTCCTTAAATACAGGGGAAGGGAACCTTGCCCACCATGATTGGACATTATTTCACAGTTACATGGGAGAGGACCAGATACAAATAGGAGTGATGTGTTGGGGCCTCTGAGGAAGCTATCGTATCAAGAAGAGGAGGAGAGTATGGACGAGGGTCTGTGGACTGAGGCAGCTGGGAGAGTACATGCCACCCATTCCTACCTAGGATACAGCAGCTGCCACCATCCGTCTCTGCTTTGTCTTTAGGGTGTGAGAAGCTGGTTCTGAAACCCATTTTCTAGGTGATGTGAGACCTCCTGGGAAAAGTAGCATCATCTTTCTGAGTCTCTGCTGCCTGGTTAAAACAGAAGCTAATGAACAACACCTGCTCTGTAAAATAGCAGCGATAGAGCCAGACATGGTGGTACACACCTTTAGTCCCAGCACTTGGGAGGCAGAGGCAGGCCGATCTCTATGAGTTTGAGGCCAGCCTGGTCTATCAGGAGTTGATGCATTCCTTCTACCAAGTAAAGCCTTGAAAAAAAAAAAAAAAAAAAAAAAAGCTGTGACAACCAGGCAAGGTGACAAATGTGTTCAGAAAAGAGTTCACCAGTGTAGCAAATAACCAAGGGTGCCATTGAGTTATTTATTTGACTTCAGAAACTGTTTTCTTTTGGATATTTCCTTTTTCCAGATTGGGAACAAAACCTCAATGGAAAAATATTTAATTATTCAAACCAGAGAGAATCCAAGGTCTTTGTTTATGCTTATTAACTTTATTAAAATGTATCATTGTTCTTATTCTGATCTGTATTAACTTTAGGGAAGCCCAGGCAAGAGAGGGACTTCTGGAGACCATGGAGCAAAGGGCCTGCGAGGAGATCCAGTAAGTGCCTGGGCTGCATGTGCTGTGCACCATTGTCAGGGCTCTGTCCCATCAACCCTTCCTGAGAGGAAAGATGTTCCACTGTAAGACTACAATATGCTCATGAACTTAAAGCCTCACAGTCATCACTAGAGAATTTTAAAAGAAGATACCAGGGGCTGGAGAGATGGCTCAGCAGTTAAAAGCACTGGCTGCTCTTGCAGAGGACCCAGGTTTGATTCCCAGCACCCACATGGCAGCTAACCATCCATAACTCTAGTTCCAGGGGATCTGATGCCCTCTTCTGACCTCTGTAGACATTGCACTCATGGGTGCACTTACATACATGCATGCAAAACACTTAGACACACAAAATAAAAATAAACAAAAAATAAGTAAAGGTAGATTCCTGTGCTAGATCCTCTTCACAATGAATTGGAATCATTCTTGTGCTTCAGAGTGAGAAGGAATTCCAGTCCATTGTGCTGGAAGAAACAAAGCCATCTTTTTGTCTATTCCCCCAAGATTCTGTTGATATCAAGAATAGCAGCCTCAGGGGCTGGAGAGATGGCTAAGGGGTTAAGAGCACGGACTACTCTTCTAGAGGACCTGGGCTCCAGCACCCACATGGCGTCTAACAACTACCTATCTGTATCTCCAGTTCCAAGGGATCTGATTCTGTCTCTTGCCTCTGTGAGCTTTGTACAACACGGGTGTACTTACACACACACACAGGCAAAACACTTATACACATAAAATAAAAATAAATATAAATAAATGAATAAATGATTTAAAAAGAAAGAATAGCAACTTCATTTCCCCAGATCTGAGGATTGAGGTGGCACTCTATCAGACAAACCTTATGACATGATGGTACCTGCTCTTGTAAGGTTACAGCTAAGTAAAGCAGGCACAACGCCAATCAATACAGAACATACACCATGTCAGCAGAATGTCATACCACAAGCTTCTTTCACTGGCCTGCAGTTCAGTTGCTCTCCACAACTTCAAGGAACTAGGATTTTTCCAAGCAGTGCAAATGTTTACTGCACTTTTTGATGAATTGTTAATAAACATCAGAAGAATACTCAACTGTGAAAGTATGGCTTGATAATGGGAGGACACCTATGTGACCACCACCTAGGTAAAGAAATAAAGCGCAGCTGCATCCCAGAAGTCCCCTTGGGTCTGCCCTGCTAACCACCTACCCTCCCCAGGGTCGTCCCTCTCCCAGCATCATAAATCAGTCTTACCTGCTCTTGAACTTCAGGCACATGGAATCATGTCGTGTGAACTCTTTTGTTTCTGACTTCTTTCACTCCACTTTATGCTTATGAGATTCATCCATGGTCTGTGTAACAGTGCATTTGTTCGCACTGCTGTGTTTGACTTTGTGACTATCATGGTCAGTCACTGGGAATTGTCAAGTATCAATTCTACTGTTGATAGATATTTTAATTCTAATTTTTTTGCAACTTCATACATGAGTATATATTTACATCACCTCTACCTGCTCTTCCCCCCTCCGACTCCTCCCATGTCCCCTTTCCAACTCCCTCTCAACTTTGTGATCTCTTCCTTGATTATTATTATTACATATACATATAGATGATGTGCTGAGTCCATTTAGTGGTGCTCACATATACATCTGTTTAGGGATGACCACTTGGGATTAGTTAACCCATCAAGGAGAAATCAGAAAACGGATTCTCCCTCTCTCAGCAACCATTGATTGCCTGTAGCTCTTTATCAAGAGGTGGGGCCCTGTGAAAGTCCCCCATCCACACTGGTGTGTCAGCTGGTGTTGTCGTTATGTAGGCAGCCATATTGCTGAGATTTCATAGGTGCAGCTTCCCCTCGTGCCTAGAAGACCCTACCTAGCGGCAGACATCCTGGCCACATTTGAAACATCTGTAATGCAACCCCTATACCTAAGACTTAGGGACCAGCATGGAAAAGAGGGGCAGAAAGATGATAAGAGCCAAAGGATGTTTGGGATTTTGTTGGCTGTCTATACTATGTCTATATGATACTGCTGTGAATATTCTTTTCCATGTCCTTTGGTGGCTTTTTGAAATTTATTTTTTATTTTGTGTGTATGTGTGTTTTGCCTGTATAGATGTAAGTGCATCACAATGCATGCAATGCTTGCTGAGGCCAGAAGAGGGTGTCGAATCCTCTGAAACTGGAGTTACAGATGGTTGTTAGCTGCCATGTGGGTGCTAGGAACCAAACCTGGGTCCTCTGCAAAAGCAGCCAGTGCTCTTAACTGCTGTGTCATCTCCCCAGCCCCTGGGTAATTTTTAAACACATTATATTAAGTAAATATTTTAAAAACAGAATTTCTGGGTCATGATATGTATGCCTCTATGGAGCTCAATATACCACATGTCCATCAGAATGTTTGCAACTTATAAATACTGGTTAACAACAATGTCGATGAGGATGTGGGGAGCTGGGCTTTTAATGGTGCGTTTCTCTCATGTATCCTCCTCCAGTGTACACTGTTGCACAGAGAGATAATTTGGTGCAATATGTGTCAGAACTATAAATGTGAGGCATATATTGCAGATATTTTAATTTATGAAACAGGAGCTGGTGAGATGGCTTGTGGGTAAAGTCAGTTGCCACTAAGGCTGACAATCTGAGTTGGATCCCCAAGATCCACATGGTGGAAGAGAAAACTGACTCCCGAAAATTGTCCTCTGACCACCACACATGTGCTGTGACATGCCCCTGATACACTTGCAGGCACACACATGTAAAGAAATAAGTGTGATGAAAGTTTTTTTATGGGAATTTTCAGGACTGGAGAAATGTATCAGTGGTTAAGAGCACTTGCTCTTCCAGAGGACCTGGGTTCAATTCTTGGTACTTACTTAGCAGCTCACAACTGCCTGTAACTCCATTTCCAGGGGATTTGACACCTTCTTCTGGTCTCCATGGGCACAAGGCACACACGGGATGCCCATACACATATGTAGGCAAACATTCATACACAAAATAAAAAGGAATAAATTTTTTAAGACAGGGATTTTCACTTGAAGAGAACATTGTTTACTCAGTGACATCTGATTATAGCTTGGTGACTTGAGAGCTTCCAAATAATTCCAAAGTAACTTAATATAGAATCAGGAAATAATAAGGGTGTAATTTAATAAATAAGGGCAACTAAGACCAGTTATTACTGTTCTAATATGTGGATATTTCAGTCACTTATACATAATGACCAGAAATTCACTTGGGGTATTGATACACAGTTTTCACTGATTTTTATCACAAGTCCCTCTACCATAGACTGTATAATTACATGACATTTTTGTTTGTTTGTTGTTAAGACAGGGCCTCCCTGTAGACACAGCTGGACTGGAACTTGCTATGTAGACCAGACTGGCCTCAGCCTCACAGAGATCTGCCTGCCTCTGCCTCCTGAGTGCTGGGATTAAAGACATATGCCATCACCACTACCACCAGCACCAGCACCAGCACCAGCACCAGCACCAGCACCACCACCACTACCACCATGCCCTGCTTAAATAAAATTTTTTAAAAAGAACCTGAATGATCAGACCAGTGGGATGACTCTGACTCTGCAGGTAAAGGTGTTTGCTGCCCTAAATTTGATGACCTGAGTTCAATTCCCAGACCCCATATAAAGGTGGAAGGAGAGAACTGACTCAACAAAGTTGTCCTCTGATCTCCACACATGCACCACAGCACATCCGTACCCACACATATCACGCCATACAAACACACACACACACACATGATGAAAGTCACCACCACCACCAACAACAACAACAACAACAACAACAACACTATCATCATCATCATCATAATTTTTAAAAGAACTTGAATAGTTAAAAGGTATCTTTAAAATTTTAAGGCAGTGCTATATGACTTCAAGATGGCTGAGAACTCAACCTACCAGATTCTCAGTGGCTTGTTATCAACTGTACTAACTCTCGATATCCTCCCATGTGTAACTGTTCTTCATACCCACTTGGTAATATGCATCTCAAATTTAAAACAACTCTTTGTGCCTTTTTTAAATGTGTGGTTTTAGTGGATTGCTATTTCAGGAAAATTTTGGGAAGAATAAAATTGACAGAATAAATAGAATTCACATATGATCAGATTTTTTTCAATGGAATTCATGTAAATTCCTAAAAAAAAAAATCCAGACTTACTCAGAATTCGGAATGTTCCATTTTTGACTAGATGATTTGTTTGTCTGAGCCTGGTCTTGAACTCTAATCCTTCTGCCTCCACCTCCCAAGTGCTGGAATTACAATATGCCCCATCACACTCACCTTGGACATTTTAAAATTTTTCATGTAATATAGAAGAAAACTAAGCAAAATCTTTTATCTGATCTACAGAAGCTATTAAGTTCACCATTTGACAATATATCACTATTTGAAGCCCATCATTAACCATAAATTTGTGTTAAATAGTGTTCTTTGGTCTAGCTGAATAGGTTATAATAAGACTAGCCCAGTTCCTGCTCACATTGAGCAAACAACTTGTCTACATACAACGTAGATGTTCTATTCTGTTAAGTGTGCCGATGCGTGACTCTTTCTATGCTGTCTTCAAATTAAGGGGCTTACGCATCCAGTGGAATAAAATTCTGCACTTGAGCTGGATGTGGTGTCCCATGCCTCTAATCCTAGCACTTGAGAGGCAGATGCATCTTTATGGGTTTGAGGCCAGCCTGGGCTACATAGTGAGACTCTGTTTCAATTTATTTTTTCTGGAGCTGGGCATGGTGGTGCACACCTTTAGTCCCAGCACTCCGGAGGTAGAAGCAGATGGAGCTCCATGAGATCAAGGCCAGCCTGATCTATATAGTGGAAACCCTGTCTCAAAAAGACCAAAAAAGTATGTTGTTTTTTTTTTTTTCTAGACTTGGCCTTTCTTATCCTTATATATCTCACCAAAGCATAATTTTCTAGTCACTTGGTTTAGGTATGCCCTGCTTAGTGGCTTAAGAGACAAGTGTTTGCTCGGCATGGTGGCACATGCCTTTAATCCCAGCCGAGGCAGAGGCAGAGGCAGATGGAGCTCTATGAAACTGACGCCAGCCTGGTCTACATAGTGACTTCCAGGCCATCTGGAGCCTAGAGAGAGAGAGAGAGAGAGAGAAAGGGAAGTATTTAAAGTTAAGGAGGAAATGAAAGTATAGAAAACGATCCTGGTTTTGGTAAATAGGGAAGAGAAATTTTTTTTAGTCTTTTTGAGACGGGGTTTCCCTGCATCCCCAGCTGGCCTGGAACTCACTGTATAGGCCAGGATGGCCTCAATTTCACAGAGATCTGTCTGCCTCTGCCTCCCACATACTGAGACTAAAAGCATGCACCACCACGCCCAGCTCAAGATTTAAATTTTTCGTGTACATTTTAGTAATACCAGTCACATAAAATAAACTCTGAGTCCATCTCTCCTCCCACATTAGCTTATAAACTCTATAAGTCCAAACAGTACTTTAAAAAAAAAAAGCTTGCTAAGTATCTGGAACAGCTCTCCATCCCTGTTGGTGATCGCAAATTGCTTATTGATTGATTGCAGGCAACCTGGAGCACTGTCAGCCCAGCAGCTGGCCCTCCTCAGGGCTGGATCATTGTTTCTTCTCAGCTTATCAGGGCATTGACTGGATTGACCACCTCAATTGATTGTCTCAGTACGGCAGAAGCACAGTTCTGCTCTGGTCCTTTTCCCAAGTTAGAAAGCTTTTGATTTGGCCTGTTGAAGATGATAACCCACGATGGATGCCTGTTTTCTGCAAATGTCTGCTGCGATGTTTGCATGAATATTGAGAAATGCTCGAGTCTAGGTTTTCCTGAAAACCAGAGATGAACAGAAAATGGAGGGCAGCCCAGTGGCCAGGTGTCAATGTAACTTTTCTGGGGTGACTTTGTCAAACATCTGTTCACTTCAAATACTGCACTGATATAGATCAAAGAAGTGATTCCACCCAACTCTAGTTTACTCTAGCTTACTTGTTTTTTTGTTTTTTTAAAAAAATTTTGTGTGTATGTGTATTGCCTGCATGTAGGTAAGTGCACCAGTGTCATGCAATGCCCGCAGAGGACAGAAGAGGCTGTTGGATCCCCTGGAACTGGAGTTACGGACAGTTGTTAGCTGCCATGTGGGTGCTGGGATTCGAACCCGGGTCTTCTGCAAGAACAGTCAATGTTCTTAACGGCTGTTACATCTCTCCAGCCCTCTTACTTGGGTTTCTTATGGGAGCATGGTAAGGGTTATTTACAGGCGCATGGGAGACTCAAATACAGTTGCATCACTGGAAGGCCCACTCCAAGAAGGGGTGAGAATTCAGGAAATCCACATCCCTGGAGCTCCCTACCCAGATTGAAGACAGCTCCACCAGGGAGCTTGTCCCTTCCCCAGCAATTGTTATATAAGCAAGTGTTCTGCTTATATAACCTTGGGGAGGGGTCTTGTGAACCTTGTACTATTATGAGTCTTTGGAGCTTTCTGAGTCTCCATGAGTCCTGAGACTTGCAAACCAGAAGGGAATGTTTCAACTCAGAAGAAATAAGGAAAGGGGACATGGGGCAGGTATATAGTCTTCAGCAGGAACCACTGTGCTTGAGTTCTTGTGATGGAACTCATCACAAGCATTTAGCTTCTCCCAAGAGAAGAAGAGAGTAAAAATCTGCCAATTGTCATGTGCAGATTTGCCTAGAACTAAAAAAGTAAGAGGGAAATTGAGAGAAGGGACGGCAGAAGCAAGAGGGCAGCTCTAGGCCCAGCATCAGGTATGAGCTGTGCTCCCTTGCCTCACTCACTATGCCTCCTAGGGTGAGCTTCCCTTAATCCCCACAACTCCCAGTAGGTCTCCACTCTGTCCACTAATGCCAAGACCAGAAGGAAAATGAAATCCTTGTAAGCATCTGTTACTTCAACCTAATTCTGCTTTCTCTTGTCAAATTCAAAATCTGCAAAAAAAAAAAAAAAAAACAAAAAACAAAAAACAAAAAACAAAAAACAAAAAAAAAACCTGTTTATTTTTCTCTTTTTTAGGGAATTTCTGGATTTGACAACAGCATACAAGGACCCAAGGGCTTGAAAGGAGACCGTGGAAGACAAGTAATTATGTGGATATTTGAAAGTAAACTTGTAGCATGATGTTGCAATGGCTGTGCAGCCTAGGTTCTTAGCAGTAGAATATAAAATGTCTATAAAGAATTTGGAATCCGGGGCTAGAGGGAGGGCTCTGTGGTTAAGAGCACTGGCTGCTCTTGCAGAGGACCTGGGTTCAGTTCCCAGCACCCGCATGGCAGCTAATAACCATTTGTAACTCCAGTTCCAAGGGATCTAATGCCCTCTTCTAGCGTTTGCAGGCATTACACACACATGGTGCATCTACATACATGCAGGCAAAACCCATACATATAAAATAAAAATAAATAATTAAAAAAATAATAATTTGAAATCATAGTAAATATACTTGGTACAGAAAAACTACTAGGAGCAAAAAGATCTTCTTTCTGCTTAATTGCTAAGGTGGAATTCAAAAAAACATTCTCATTGTCTAAATTCAGGGTGACTTGTTTTACTAAGTCATACCCCAGAAGTCTTCATGAATACAAACATCTAAACTTAACTTAAAAGGAAGGACTAGTTGATTTACTGAAATAATTTTTAAGTGCTAGCCAAAGAGTTGTTGGCCTTCCCAGTCTTCTAGGGACACAAGTAGTAAGAAGACGTGACACTGTTAGACATGGCGAAAGACAAGAGCTGGTGGGCTGCTTCATCCCTCAAGGCCTGTCTCTTGGGATTGATCTCATGATATCACTTAAAGTACCATTTGGTCACATTACCCTATTATTTAGCATTAAAAAATTATCTGGGTAATGTGCATCTCTGGTTCCTCTTAATGATAAAGATCCCTTAATAGTTCCACCCTGGGAAGAAGTCTGCTGTGTAGGAAGGGGTTGGCTCCCTCCTGTCTCAGATTTTATCTATGATCAGCTTTGTGCACTGGGGCCACTTTATGTAAACCTTGATTTTTCTCATTTTCAAAGTATGGAGAATAGCCTACTTTTGTGTTTTCTAGACTCATAAATTATTCCATATACATTAGTTAGGTTTTTTGTTTTTTTGCTTGAGACAGGGTTTCACTGTATTTGTGACTGGCCTGGAACTCACTGTGTAGACCAAGCTGGCCTCTAACTCACAGAGGTCTGCCTGCCTCTGCCTCCTGATTGCTGAGATTAAAGGCATGTACCACCATGCCCAGCACATTAGTTACTTTGTGTTGCTATGACAAAACACCATGCCCAAAAGCAACTTATGGGAACAAACAGTTCCAGAGCGAGAGCCATAATGACAACTGGGGGCATGGCTGCCAGTGGTCAGAGCAGGAAGCTGAGGGATCACATCTCAACTGCAAGCGCAAAGCAGAGAGAGGAAACTGGGAGGAAACTGGAAGTGGGGTGAGGCTATCAACTCTCAAAGCCCACCTCCAGTGACACTTCCTCCAGCAAGGCCACACCTCCTAAACCTCCTCAAACAGCACCATCACCTGAACACCAAGTATTGAAATACATGGGAAAACTTGAGAGAATTTTGAGGTTTGAGTCACAGGAGGGTGTTAATCTGCACAGACTAGGTGAAGAAGCAATTCAAAGGTAGAAATCCCAACTGTGCTGGTAGAGCATGAGGACCTGAGTTCAGATCCCGAGTGCTCACATAAAATGGCAGATACTACAGTAATCCTAGCACTAGGCAAGAAGATCCCTGGTGCTCTCTGGCCAGCTAGTCTTACTGAATCAGTGAGCTACAACTTCAGTGACAGACCCTCCTCAAAAAATAAGGTGGAGAGCTGTTGAGAAAGATACCTAATATCAGCTTCTGGCCTCTATGTATACTTACACATGTGTCCACATCCACATACAAATACATACACATACACACCACATACACACAAAAGAAATCCCAGCCAGTAGTGGCCATACTAGATATATATTATGGTGACACAGTAGAGATAGTTTGATGACAGTGCTCTATGACTGAACAAGTTTGTGGAAATGAACAGTTGAAGCCATACTGCTGTGTTGGCCTGATGATCCTCATCATCCTCTTAGAAATGTGGTTCATGGCCAATGGACATTAACACCACATTCCAGGAAAAAGTGACTCTATCACTCGTGTGAAACCACCTGCCCTTCTGTAACATGCACTGATTTTAAAGAAGTGATGTAATCCTGCTGTCACACATCCCTATGCTCCTTTGACAGGGCAGAAGAGGCTGGCCGGGCTCCCCAGGGACACCAGGCTCCAGAAGAAAAGAGGTAAGAACCCTTCTAGACAGACACGTGGATCCTGTAACTTGAGTTGTGCTGCCATGGCTGAGTGTGAGGCATGGCGGGGGGTGCGGGGTTCTCAGGGTGGGGATGCGCTATTGGAGACACTGAGCCATCTCAGAATGGTGTTTGCCAAGGACTTGGAAAAGCCCCTGAAACTGAAATCAGAAAGTTCTGGCTCCAAGGGAAATTCCCCACCAGAAGAAGTTGCTTCACAGAAAACATAAGCATGGCCAGGCAGGGGAAAGTGATCATTGTTTGGCCTCCTTGCTGGGCAAACTTGTCATATTAAGCCCAAGCTCCATTGTCTGCCACATTTTATGGCTATTTAGAAAATTTAGGGAAAAAACAACGAAGAAAAGGTCTGCTGTAAGCGTATAACTGAGGTTAGATGGGGTTACTCGTTACAGAACCTGTGCAGGCTCTTGGTAGTTTTGGTTTGTTTTTCATTTTGTTGGTTTTGTTTTAATGCATGCTTTTAAAAAGTCTGGGCTTGACTCCTTTAAAAAGCCTAAAGATTCCAAAAAACAAGTCTTTATCCAATAAGAGATGACTTCATGGAATTCACTCCACACCTGCATTAGCGGAAATGACTGATTTTACCTCATTTTGAAGCACTTTCTTTTCCATGTTTGTTTAGCTACACAGCCTCCTCAAGAGTTCCCTCACTTCCCCTCCTCAAAGTGAAAAACATCTTTAAAACTGAGCACAAGTAAATACTAGCTGGACGGATTGCATTTATTATGCATTACATTTTCTGAGCAGAAGTGGTTTATGAAACTAGCTATTATATTCCATCAAGAAAACATCTCACAGTACACCCATTTTCTTCACGAGGCAGGGAGAATGGAAATAGGAGCAGAGATTATATTTGAAATGTGCAGAATTGTTTGTTAGCAAAATGACTTACTAATGTTGCTTTAATGCATATTCAGATAAAGAAATGCTTGTACCATTCACTTGACTTCTAAAAAGGTGTCATTACAGACTTACCCTTGGAAGATAGGTTCAATTTAAAGAATATCATCCAGGAAATCCTGGCGTGTGGGGATGTGCATTTATTATTTCCTGGCCTCTAGAAGCTAATGTGGGATTGCCATGTCAAACCACACAGCTCAAGAAGTATGGCCCCACCTTGACTAATAGATGAAGCTGTGTCATACAAGAAAGAGAAAAGGCAACACTTGCTGCAAAAACCAGCCAAGCAAGGGGACCTCCCATGCTAGCTGTCATTTGTGCAACTCACCAAAATAGAACAGAACAGAGTAGAATATAAAAGCAAACAATGACCCAGCTTCAATCCATGAGTGATGACTAACACGGGCCAACTGTTTTGGCATCGGGACCCAAGGGAGCAAGGATTTGGAAGCAGACACATGTCCACTTGGCTCTCAAGCCAGGATTAGAAGACTCTAAAGTTAGCCGCCACCATCCAGGAAGAGCTGGTGGAACACAGTTCTGCATGTGTTTAATGTAGATTCTGAGAGGAACCAGGAATACACCCAGAGAAGCTCAGTGAGCCGAGGAGGCAGAAACAATGGGAAACTGAGCAGTATTTTGTTTGTGTCACCCTGAATGAAGGCCACAGAGGCTGCAAATAATGAGAGCGCAGGGAGACAGGGACTGTTACAACACAGAGAAACTGCAGCCTTAAGGGCTGTGTGAGTCCTGTGAATCTCCTCAATGCCAAAAGTTGGAGGAAGATAAAACCCTAAGGTGAAATCAAGAACTCATTTGATAAATGTTTTGGAGATAATTTCTACTTCTTGCTACTTCCTGTTCCAGCTGTATCTCCCCATGTACCTTGCAGAGATGGTCAAGCTTTGCTATGAAAGAGTCAGGTGATTAAGTAATCAGAAAATTCAAAAGAAAGGAGAAAAGTCATGTCCAAAAGGCAAATAAATCCATGTTAGAAGAGGAATTATTCACAGGGAAAGTGGAACTCTTACAAATAGTGCTTTGAGTCTCAAAGAAATGAAGCCCACATTTTTGCTCTGTAAATGTTGGAAGAATTGATAAGACTGGGGCTGAGAGATGGCTTAGTGGTTAAGAGCACTGGCTACCCTTGCAGAGGACCTGGGTTCAGTTCCCAGCACCCACATCCATAACTCCAGTTCCAGGGGATCCAACACCTTCTGACCTCCATGGGCATTACACAACACAAGTGTACTTACATACATGCAGATAATACACTCATACACATAAAAAATAATAAATAAAATATTTAAAAAAGAATTGACAAGACAGTAGAAAGTGAAGGGAGCCAACTCATAGTGCTTAGGGAGAAATGGAAGAGAAAAATGCAGAGATGTGCCTTATAGTAGAAATGTTGCCTCTCTGACATTCAATTCCATTTTTTTCTATTCAGGTAAAATTAAAAGTAGCACTTACATTTAAAAATATCTTAATATTTTGATTCCTTTTTCTTAAAAGTGCCACATTTTAGAATTCTATCTGAAAAATACCATAAGTGCAGGAATCATGATTATCAAATGTTAATGATTATTTCTGTATAGAGGATTTGAAGTGATTTCTATATATTTATTTTGTATATGACCTGCACTTAAATATTTCATCATAAGGACTTATTATTATTATTATTTTGGTCTTTTTTGAGACAGCGTCTCCCTATAGCCCCAGCTGTCCTGGAACTCACTATGTAAACCAGGCTGGCCTTGAACTCACAGAGATCCGCCTGCCTCTGCCTCCCAAGTGCTGGGATTAAAGGCGTGCGCCACCATGCCCGGAAGGACTTATTATTTTATAATAGCAATGAAGTCATTATTCTTTAAGAAAGAAGAAAATCTAAGGTATTTACTGTAAACCTGTAAAATGCAGGTAGGTACTGGGCTAGGGTGTAGTTGAGTGGTCAAGTAATTGTCTAGCATGCTCAGATCCCTAAATTCCATCCCCAGCACTTCATATACCCAGAAAGATATGTATTGAAATTCCTTGGTGTAATAAAATTCCTTTTGACTCACAAGCATTGGAAGATGGCCAGTAGTAGACTGTGGCTTGCAGGGCAATGCATACGAGTTGACACATCTGACCTTTATTCACTCAACCCCTCTGAACACCAACAACGGACCAGCAACTCCACTAAGTACTAAGCTAGGAACTCAAGTAAGACATAGTCTTTTCCTTTCAAGGAACTCAGAACCGTGGTGAATAGAGCAAAGTTTCTCAACTCTGTAGTGTTGGTATTTGGGTTAAAACATTGTTTGTGGTAAGGAGCCATCTTGCGAATGGCAAAATGCTAATATTGTCCCTGCCCTCTGCTTACTGGGTGCCAATAACACATCTGGCAAAAAAAAAAAAGTATCCAGACTTTGCCAAATATGTCCTGGAACGAGGGAGAAAGAACTAAATCCCTTCTCTCATTGAAGGCCACGGTGGGAAGAAAGGGAACCTGTCAGGTAAACAAGCTACGGCCAGGGCTTTGCCAAGAATCTAGTCTGGACTGAGGGCAGGAGAGGCAGGGAGGAAACACTGGGACCAGAAAGCAGCAGCACTGGACGTTTCTGGGAAATGGGAGGCACAGCCCTTTCTGAACCAGACTTTGCAAAAATTAGAACAGATTCTACGTCAGGGGTAATGAGAAGCAACTGTAGCCTCAAACCAAAGCAAGCCTTCGTTCCTGCTTGATCCAGATTGAGGCTGGTGATGCTTTGTCCCACTTGTTCCTTTTGGCACTTTGTTATGGGCTCTCTCAGTGCTCCAGGCCTTGGTTATCACAGCATTGATGGGCTCACCATTCAGATATAATGAGATTTTTATCTTCCCCATGTAAACCACTCGGAAATGTTAGGCAAAATTTGCAAAATCATCTGCCCTAATTCTCTGTTTCCTTTCTGCATCTCATATGTACTGCACTGTTCTCTTCTATGACTTTCATTTGGAGCTTAAATCAGCAAACTTCTAAGTGTTCAGTTCTGGGTTTGTTTCCATCATTTATGTCAATGCTGGATTAAAGTCCATCGCTTTATTAAGTCTGTGGATAGATAGCTCAGGTGGTAATGGACTTGCCTCACAATCATGAGGACTGGAGTTTGATTCCCAAGATCCATGTAGAGTAGCCAGGCATGGTATTGTACCCTTGCAATCCCAGCACTGAGAAATCAGAGACAAGTGGATTCCTGGGGCTCTCGGGCTGGTCAGCCTAACTTAAGTGAGTACCAGGTCAATGAAGAGACCCTGTCTAAAAACACAAGGTGGATGGCACCTGAGGAATGACATCTGAGGTTGTCCTCTGGCCTCCAAATGCACATGCACATGTGTGCACTGAAAAGACAATGAAAAGAAAGACACACATGAATTTCTGAAAATTTCACACAATAAATCTTGATCATATTTAGAGCTCCCCGCTACCTGCACACTCCCATAGCCCCCACACCAGATTTCATGCATTCTGTATATATGTTACTGCCTGTCAAGCCAAGTTTGTGTCCCTGATTGTCTTAAGTGTGAGTCCATCCACTAGCCTGGTTGACCTATCTAGCATCACTCCCTTAAAGAAAACCACCTCTCCTTCATCCAGTAGTCACCTGTTGCCAATAGTTCCTCAGCTAAGGTTGGGGCTTCTTACCCATTTCCCCATTTCCATACTGGGTTTCTGTCTGGTTTGAGCGTGCATGGGTCCTGTGCATGTTGTCACCCTCACTGTAAGTTCATATGAGCAACTTTCCAGAAGCCTGGAAAACTCTGTCTTCTTGTGATCATCCACGACCCCTGGTTCTTACAGTCTTTCTGCCCCCTCTTCCACAATGGTCCCTGAACCTTGGGTGGCAGAGGTTTGATGTAGGTGTCCTACTCAGGAATAAGTGTTCTGCAGCCTCTTATTCTCTGCTTTTTGGCCATTTGTGGCTTTCTAAGTCAAACTTCATGAGGAAGTTTCACTGGTGAGAGTTGAGAGATACATTATGATTCTTTCTGCCCCCGATAGAGGTTGCATTGTAGATGTGTCACTTAGAGCTGAGTACCTCACAGATATTGACCTGAGAGTCTTCTCCTTCCTCTATGCCTATGATACAAAGATTTGGTCTTTTCATGGTGTCCCACATCTCCTGCATATTCCATTCTTGTTTGGTTTTTTTTTCAAGTTTTTATATTTTCGCTTTAGTGGTCCAATTATTCAACTTTATCCTCCAGTCTTGATACTTTGTTTTCCATTTTATTCATTCTGCTGGTGAGACTCTCCTGTCTTTTCAACTTGACTTGAGTTTTTTAAATTCCATCTTTATTTCAACCTGAGTTTTCTTCAATATTTCTCTTTGTAAATTCATTTTCCAAATCTTGAATTGTCTTTCTCGTTTCATTCAGTCATACATTTATATTTTCTTGAGTTTCAGTCAGGAATTTATTCCTCTTTGAGTTCTTTGAGTTGTGTGTTCTTTAAAGTCCTGAATTCTTTAAATTCTATGTCCTGGGGTTCTTCTAGGTGGCTCTCACTGTAGAACATTTCTATAGGACTGGAGGATTTGGTAGGGACATCGTGTCTTGGTTTTTCATATCATTTGCGTTTTGCACTGTGATTTGGGAATATGGATTTCTTTTGTTGGTTGTGTATCTGATATGAAATTCTAGCCTGCCTTTGTTGAGTTGAAATTTGGTTCTGTTTTTATTGTTGTAGCTTGGTTGCTTCCTGAAGAGGCATGAATAGTTAGTTGGCCTATGCTTTAGGTTCTCACTTTTGATTTTTTATGGGAAGGATTTAGGTGGTTCCAGGCCAGCCAGTTCAGAGTTTTCTAGCTGTGTGAAGGTGCCTAGGCCCAAGACCTGTGGGGAGAGGGTGAGCCAGTTCTCATTAGCTAAACAGAGTAGATGTGAGCCCTGGAGCAGTGGGGGTGGGGCCAGTCCTAAAGTAGGATGATAGTGACCTGGTTGGCAGAATATGGGTTACTCACAAAACTAGTTGGGTACTCTGTTCTCTGGCAGCCACAGTGGGAGAGGCCTAGGCCCAAGGAGGGCTAATGGGGATAGGATGAGCCAGTTCTATCTAGGTAATCAGAGCAAATGTGAGCCCTGGAACAGCATGAATAGGCCATCAGCAGTGTTTTAAAGACACAAGAACCAATGTTTATTGATATTTCAAGCACTGTGACAATAAACCAGACACATGGGGGTCTGCTCTGTGTCCTTTAAACTCTACTGCAAGTTCTTTGTTCTGCTAGAATGTAGCATTTCTGATGTATCCTTGCTCTGGAAATTGTTACTGAATATGTTAAAGCTGTAATGAAATACTTCTTCTAATCATGTGGTTATTAAATGCCAAAGGGTAGCAGATGCTTCTCTGGATGAAGGTATCTACTTGTGGATATTTTTCTGAATGACATGAAAGTGAGTTGAATTGGAATAATCCATTGTGCCAAAGGAAAGTTTCTTTTCTTTTCTCTGACAAAAAGAATTTAGACTTTCAAGATGATTCATTCTTATTTGAAAGAAATAAGACCATTTCTTCACATACACAGTCTCGTTTCTTAGATAACGTATTTTAAAATACAATTAGCAATGCTGATCTGTCAGAGAATATTTCAAGTAAGTTTCTAGCAAAACAATGTTGTCTGATGTCTTCCGAATTTTGTAAATCCTAGATGTGAATTTTGCTCTGATCCTGCTGAGTGGCCAGGTTAGACAGTCAAATGTCACTTTCTTCACTCTCTGAACCATGAAATATTGATACAAAGCATCCCTCGAACCCTAGCCTCACACAGAGTGAAAAATTCACCATTATTTGGATCGGATGTTTTATTGATAAGTGTATCGATTTAGTGGAATTGAGTAACTTTTGAGTACTTGGGATGCCTGACTTCTGACCACTAATCACATTATTTGGCTTAAACAAACAAACAAAAAAACAACTAGTTTGGCTCTTCAGTTTCTGAGCTTAAGGTATTATGACATTCCTGGAGTCTGTGCCCCCAGTTTCTCCCCTGGCTTCCTGGCTTCTGCAGGTCCTTTCCTGATTTCTGGCTTACTTGATAATGCTTGGGGAAAATAAAAATGTAGTAAATTCAGGTCAGTCCATGTCCCACCTGGAGCATGGCTCTAGCCAGGCCTGTGGAGGTGAATTATTCACTGCACCTCTTCTTGGCAGTGTCTAGCTTTCATTGTCTATGACTTCAGTGACCCGTTGCCCTCGATAGAAACCCAGAGTTGGTGACACCCCATCTTCACACTGTGGTGAATACCTGAATATGTTAAGCACCATGTGGGAGTTATTATTTGTGTCAGTGCCTTGAGGTGTCCACTACTAATTGAAATTAAATATAAATCATCTTTTCTAAGTTAAGATTTTTTTTCCTTTTGTTTTAGGTAGCTCGTGGCAAAAGGGGACATACAGGCCCACAGGTCAGTGTTTTGTTTTGTTTTTCTTAACTTCAAATGATAAAAAATTCATGTCCAGTCAAGGAGCCAGAATAAAGAACATATCTTCTCTCCCACCCAAAACTGCTTTTGCTTTTTTTTTTTTAAATTTTATTCATTTTTATTTTATGTGTATGAGTGCTTTGCCTACATGTATCTAAGTGTACCATCTGCATGCCTGGTGCCCACGAAGGTCAGAACTGGAGTTATGGATGGTTGTTAGCTGCCATGTAGATGCTAGGAACCGAACCCAGGTTCTCTGCAAAAGCAACCAGTGCTCTTAACTGCTGAGTCATCTCGCCATCTCTCAGCCCCTTCTTTTGCTTTTTGATGACATTGGTTGCAGAATAAATTGTTAGAAAATTTTAGATTTACAATTTTAAGAATTCAAATATCAAGATGAAATGAAAATGTGGGAACTTTAATCAAAATTTTCAAAGAATAAATTAAAACAAATTTTGAAACATGAAAACTACCAAAGACAATATTTATTCCAATTGTTGAGTTCAGCTTTGTTTGGTTTTCAAATAAAAACTCTGATAACGATGAGTAAACTTTCTTGTAGATTTATGTTCACTTAGTTCTTGAACTTAGAATTTTCAGGAAAAAACTCATATAAACCAAAAGAATACCATGGCACTTAATGCAAACTGCATATTCTGATTACTGTGTCCAAAATTTAGATAAAAAGCTATAGCATAATGGCTGGGCGTGGTGGTGCACACTTTTAATCCCAGCACTCAGGAGGCAGAAGCAGGTGGATCTCTGTGAGTTCAAGGCCACCTGGTCTGCATAGTGAGATCCAGGCCAGCTGGGGCTACAGGGAGACCCTGTCTCAAATAGACCAAAAAAAAAAAAAAAGCTATAGCAGATTGCTTTTGCACATATCAGTGACTCTTTTCTACAGTCTGCTTCCTGAACACGCAGTATTTATAAAAGAGTAGTTGTGACTTAGAATTTTGCAAAACACACATTCTCAGATTAAAAGTACAATGAGTGTACATAATAAACCCATACTCAATCACATCACGGTGAAAATTCAGGATGTTAAGGATGAAAGAACACCTTGACCGTTTTTTGAAAAAATCCTTCATTGCCCTTGCTGAAAAAAAAAGTTCCTCGTACTGCATTAGGGGAAGAACATTCCCAGAGAAGTCTCTAACAGTGTGATTCTTTCTCACCACAGGGAAATCCAGGCATTACAGGCCCAGATGGACTTGAAGGCTCACCAGGACTTAAGGGTCCTCAGGTATACAGAGAGACCACATGGGTATAAGACCAAAACGAAGAATCTAGATGTGGAGAATCTAAATCCTAGATAGAAATGCTCAAACCACCTTGAAGAATTACAGATGTTTGAAGTAGGTTCAGGGTAATAAAACAAGAAAGCAACAGAGTTTTGACCTGCCCAGCACTTGGTCCTTTTATCTGAGTTTTGACCCAGTCAAGAGGTGGAAAGAAATGAACATACTGAGCAGCCAGTCCCGTATGCTGGGTCCAAGATTGTTAGGGTAATCCACAGACACCTTGAGCCAAGGAAAATGTTGAACCTGGAATCTGAGAATTGTGGTCAGTTTAACACAGCAATAGCTCTCTGGATGTCCATGGTGTCGAAATATTGGCTCAACTCTAGGAAAGAATTGTTTCAAGTACAGCTGGAGGCTTCAGCAGGGTGATCTAGAGTGTGGCACTCTGCCTGTCCTTTCCAGCTCACTTCTCCAGGGAGCTGCCTCCAGCACTTTTTCCTTTGTGAGGAACAAGCCATAGTTGGCTGTTCACACTGGTCAGCAGAGCAGAGAGGAAACATGTGTCAGAGAGGGCAAAGCAGAGCCTAAAATAACGGTGAGTCAGGAAGGGAGCAAATGCTGAGCTGGAAGAAGTCGGGCTGGGATGTAGCTCAGTGGTAGAGCTCTTGTGTAGCACGTACAAGTAACACAGTAATAGTCCTGGGTTGGATCCTCAGCAAAGAAGGAAGTAGAAGAGGGAAGGAAAAAGGGAAAGAGGGAGGGGGGGAGG